GCCCTGGGGTCCTTGTCTCTATAGAGCTAGAGTAATGCAGCTCCATCCCTGTCTCTCTTGTTCAAAAAGGAGCCAAACCCAGAGCCTGTTTGGCTGTGCATGCGCGCGCGCACACACACACACACGTACAAACACATGTACAAACATGCACACACATACGTGCATGTGCACGCACACATACACATACACAAACACACATACAGACACACAGTCTGCCTGCCTGTCTCAAATCCTTGTGTCAGACTGATACACCCCGACCTCTCTGCTGTTTGGGGCCTTGTTTACAATCACCATCTTCTCTGTTCTGCTCCCAAACTTCCTTTACCCTAACCCTGTTCACCATCCATAATCCCTGCCACTTCTTGTACTACCTACAGGAGCAACTCTAACTCATGTCACCTGAGTTCTCATTGAAATGCAAACCCTAATTCAGTATATTTGGGGGAAGACTGAGTTTCTATAACTCCTACAAGTACCCAAGTGATGCTGATGCCACTGAGCCACTGAGTATGAAGACCTAGGACAGCAGTTCTCCACTGTGACTGCACAGTGGAATCACCTCAGGAGGTTATAGGCCATGAGGCCTGGGTCCTACCCCAGAAGTAAAGGTTTAAGGGGTCTGTTATGTGGCCTGAGCCTTGGCATTTTACAGCAATCTCTGACCTGGATGCAGATCCCAGGTCTCCCTCCCCTAAGGGAAAAAGCAGGCCCTTTATCAGGTGCTCCTTCATCTGTTTCTCTTAAGTCAGTGCCATATGTGCTGGGGTTTCTGGGAGAAAGGGGCTTCACACAGAGTATCATACAAATGCCACCTTCTTGTGCAGCAAGGGGACTGCATGAGCTCATTCCCAGGCTGGTTTATTTGAGGGGCTGGTAGCTGAAGACCAGGCACAGGTGAAGCACAGCTAAGCTGCCGGTGGAGTGGAAGAACAAGACCAGAGTAGGGAGGCTTGGTTTTGCAACTGCTTTGGGGTTTGTGAGGAGATGTTGGTCATTCTAATGTGCCCCCAGAACGTGCCCCCAATAGTAAGTGATTAGTAAGCCAAATCCACTATGCAGGAGAAACTTGTCCTCCCAGCCCAGCTCTTGGCTCCTGTCTTGGTGCTGATTGGGCCTGAATAGAATTTTACCATCATAGATGGACTAAACAGAGCTGGGTGTCTCTCCCACAGATACCCACAGGCCTTACTCCCTTTAGTTTTCCCAAACATCACTCTCCCTGAGGCCTACCTGAAGAGCTGTTTTAGAATGTCTGCTCACTCTTCACCATCCTAATCCCTGCACTGGCTCTAGGTTTTCCCTCTAGTGCCCCATTATCACCTTGCACCATGTCACAACTTGTTTGACTCCTTCTCTCCAACTAGAATATAAATTGTCAATAGGCAGGGTTTTGCTAGTTCCAGGCCCACTAGCTCATGCAGGGTCTTCAACATCATTTGACATCCACATTTGCCTCTGCCTCCATTCTGAGTCCTTCTATCTGCTGCTCCTCTAGCTGGCTCAGGCTAACAGACTGCAGGTGACTCCAGGTACCTGCCTGCATAACTTTCAAAAGCAAAAGAAAGTCAGTGTTTTAACTTTCACACAGAAATATAAAGTTCCCTCTCCCTCCTGTGACTGCAGATTTGTCAGGAACTAAGCATATTTCCTGCCATTCTTGGGGCGGGGGGGGGGGCGCAGGGGACAGATAGACACTGTGGTGCAGAAGGAGCAGGCTGGTAGGATACAGCCCATACTCATGAAATGTACAAGGTTAGAGGTAGACAAATGTTCAGCTGCCTCTACCGACCATGAGGGTGAGGCCTCCTGCTCACCTCTGGACACTACGCAGGCCAATTGGCTTCACAGCTGCCCTTTTAATTTACAGCTGCCAAAGGTGCTTGGCTCCATTTCAAATGACAAAGAAATGATACCAGCCTTAGCAGCAAGTGATAACAAATGTTATGGGATTGGAGCTGGGGTGTCCTTGAGCCCTGGAAAAGAGCGCATGCGGTTGGAAGATCATGAGATAGGAAGGTCATAGCATTTCCAGAAGTGCCAGCTTGGAGGCTGGGTGTAAACTGAGAGGTGTGAAAGATGCAAATAGGACCAAGAGGAAGGGGAGGTAGGAAAGTTGCATTGTGGGAAAAGAAGCAGGGGAAGCAGGTAAGACAGGAGGGTGAGGAGGGCAGTTTTTACTCACAGAGCTCTTAACTACCAAGGATGCTTGGTACGTGAAAGCACTATAGCCAGTGGCTCCAGTGGGCAGCAGCCTTAGGCCCCTGGCCTCCAAGCAAATGGGCACAAGCTGTCCGTTTGAGTCAGTAAATGTTAGCGTTTACTGCTGAGTCCTTCACTTTGCCTCTCATGGCAACAGGCAGCCTCAGGTTTTCCTTTGGCTTTCCCTTCTCTTGGTGTCCTGGGGTTCTTATGCATTTCTCTGACCAAATCACAGCCACCCTCACCAAGTCTCCTTGGCCCCTCAACTCTGAGTTTAGAGTTGCCAGATTTAGTGATAAGAATACATGATATTCTATTAAATTTGAATGATAATTTTTAAAATTTTATTTTAATTTTATGTGTATGAGTGTTTTGCCTGCATGTATGTAGGTGGGCAATGTGTGTGTGATGCCATGCAGGCCGGAAGAGGGCGTCAGATATCTGGCGTTACAGAGGTTGTTAGCTGCCACAAACAAAACCCGAGGTGGGAAATTGGTGTGGTATGCCATGCAGGCGGGAGGAGGGCGTCAGATACCTGGCTTTCCAGAGGTTGTTAGCTGCCACAAACAAAACCCAGATTCTCTGCAAAAGCAGCCAATGCTCTTACCACTGGGCCATTGCTCCAGTCCCATAATATTTTTTTTAGTACAAATGTGTCCTATACAATATTTGGGATATACTTGTTACTAGGAAGTTGTTTTCTGTTTGTCTAAAATTTGAATTTGTCTGGAAACCCTACCTAAGTACATGTGGTTTCAGTTTGGGTTGGCCTGTGGAAGCCTGCAAGAAAGTAGAAAGGCATGGCCAATGCAGTGTACCCTGAAATCTACCTGCAGGGAGAATGAAGACCCCACTGTTAGTCCTTGTGATTTGATCCCCACTGAGCTTTCTTCCCCTCTTCCCCACCTGTCCCTTATTGAGAAGCCCTTTCTTCTGACCCAGCCAGTCTCCTCATCCCTCATCCCATACTCTCAGATTTGGTAGGAACCCGTGTCAACTCCTCTCCCCCCCGATACAAAATTACCTCCTTGACTTCCATCTCCTGTTGAAGTCCTCTTGTGTCTCTGGGGCCTGCTTCCCATGTCTGGAAATGACTATATCTGGTCTTTACACTACCACTGAGCCAAAGACAGGGGCTATCATTCCCATTGGTGTTAGAAAATGTCCAGAAAGACTTAAGGGAGGCTGTTTCCCACCAGGTTTCTTCAGGCGCTATCAGCTGTCATTCAAGCATTTTCTGGAAGAACTATGAGAAGTCACCACTTGGGAGCATTCACATTATTCTTTCAGAGAAAGAACTGCCTTCCCAGCCCACTGACACCCAAGGGTCTTCAGGAGGAGGCCACTGGTCCTCCTTGAAGCAGGCTGCAGCAGACTGGGAAAAATGGGGTGATGACCAAATGTTTGGGGCAGCAGATATCATCACTACCACCATCATCATCAGTATCATCCTACCACCATTATCATCACCATCATCCTCACCATCCTCATCACCATCATCTGATACCATTTCAGCTACATTGTGCTTGAAGGTCAGATACTTCTCTCATTATCCTTCAACAACCCTACAAGTTAAAGAATATTACTCTTTACTTTCCAAATGGGGAAGTGGAGTCCCAGAGTAAACAGGTGCCTTTGCACATGGTCCCAAGGCAACTGAAACAGAGCCATAATTAAGGACTCCCTGACTAGAACTGTCCACCTAGCCTTTAGGATGCTTAATTCCTCCTAAGAAAGGGAGGGCAGGTAGGTCCAGCTCATATTCAACCAAATAAGTGAGACTTGACCTCAGCACCCCAGCTCCACAATACTCCCCTCTTATGTTCCTGAGGGGAAAGGATCAAGTATACCAAGGTATCCAGCTGCTGTAAGCTCCTGAGGTCCCCTTCCCACTTCCAGACCTACTTAGGAGAGTCTCTCCTCAGGGGCCTCATCTCTTCCTATGAATGTCTCCTAAAAGATAGCCCATATACAGAACATAAGTTCCACCTGATACTCTGTAACAAAAAGGGAACCACAGATACTGCCATCCCTTCTGGAGCATGGCAATGCACACCAGCATATTGAAGGAACCAGAATATCCAAGAGATAATACCCATTTAACTTTGACTCTGATTTTCTAAAACTTACCCAATCATGGAAACTTTTATCAAGTAACAACTATTAACATTCCATAGAACTGGTATTCCATATAATATATTCTGAAAATCAGGGATCCAGTTCAAAACTTACTTTTTATGGCTGAAAAAAAATTAAATCTGTTCACTAACTGCTTGAGCAGTTTTACTAAAGGTAAACAGAGGTTTTCCCAAATGCCAGAGCCTGTGCCAGGTTCTGATACCTGCAGGAATGTAGTGACAACAGTTTGTTGCACGTTCCTTACCACTTAGGCAAGCTCAACTCGCTTGTAGGGTGCTGGTTTAACACCCATTTCAGTCTGAGGAGCCTGAAGCCCAGAGCACTGTTGTACGTTGCCAGAGTTGCCCTATAAACCCAACTCTGCCCTTTAATAAGATGGTTTTACTCTTTATGATTCTATTCACTGGCTTTTGAAATAAGACTATTTCATCGTGAAGCCCAGCTGGGGATGTAGCCCAGTGGTGGAATGCTTGCATAGCATGCACAAGACCATGGGTTCATTCCCATCATGGCCAACAAAACAAAAGTAACAACATCATGAAACCCAGAGCCAAACAGAGCCCAGGTGGAGCCAGGCTGATTGATTTGAGTCAAGGCTGTGCCAGGATCTACCCCTTGCCCCCTCAGCCCCTCAGCCCCTCTTCTTGCTTTTGTCCCTACAGGTCTAACTGGCTGAAGCCATGCTGTGGGAAGAGAGCAGCCGTATGGCAGGTATTTTTGCTCAGTGCAAGTCTCAACAGTTTCCTGGTAGCCTGTGTAATATTGGTGGTGATTCTCCTGACTCTGGAACTTCTAATAGATATAAAGCTTCTCCAGTGTGAGTAGCAAGAGAGATACATATGCAAATACATATGATGTCAATATTCACTGTGCATCTGCATCCATCAGGGGTCCCCAACCTGAAGGCTGGGATCTTCCCCCAGCCTGGTGCCACTCTTGACCTTGCAATGACCCCTGGGGTTGCCTTTGGGGAAGGAACATGTCTGGCAGCACCTCTGTCACCCCCAGCATCACTTTGCCCTTTTCTGTCCTATGTGGCTCTTCTTGTCCCCTTCCCAGCATTCCATGTTCAGAGACTGATGCAACAGAAAAACGTTGGGGACCCCTGTATGTATCTTTTTTTTTATTGTTCCCATTTGGAATTTTCCAGGTTGAAACTTTTTCTGGCTTTAACAGAGTTAACAACAACCACGATGCTTATGTATGTACCTGGCGTGAAGTGGATAGCATTATTTGCATGCATCATGATAGTTTTGAAAATGCTTTTCCACACCCTTGACCCTAACAACAACCCTATGTGGTGAACAAGAGTGACAAGATAAGATCCCGTTTTATAGACAAAGTAGATTAAGGTTTGAGGGAACTAGAGACTCTCTATAGGTCAGAGGCATGAAGCTGAGACTTCCAGCCTCCAGGTTGTTTAACTGCTTGGCTAGTTTTTCTCCCCTGGGGATTCTCCCAGCTTTATGATTGTGACAGCTTGGTGCAGGTGGCAGCAGGAGGTTTGCCTTCCTTTGTCCTGATGTCCTGTGACAATAAGGCTGTCCCAAGTGGAAGCCCACCTCCTGTCCTCACTCTTGGAGACCCCTGCTTAGTGTTCCAGGGGGCTGAGGGCCTGAGGGTCTGATTCTTGGCTATGAATGAACAGGAGGCTTCTGATAGAGCTACTAGTTCCCCCCTTTCTCTGATCCAGAAGGCAGACTACTCAAATGCAAATTTTTAAAAAGTAAAATTATGGGTCCCAGAGAGGTTTCTTTTGCTGCCATTGACAGAACTCAGGACAGTAGGTTCAGCCCCCCAAAAAAACATGTGGTCCTTTTGGATTTGTTTTCTCAAATGCCCTCAAATCATTTACTGAATCTTCTATGCTCAGGGTCTTGTCAAAGCTCCCTCCATGACATGGCAGCCTTGTCTGTTCTCTGGGGAGAGCACAGAATTGCTTTTGTCTGATAAGCCTAGTTGGCTTTTATGCAGCTGATGGCCCCTTGGTTCCAATTAAAGTATCCTCCAGCATAAAGTGACCAGTACTGGTTTTATACTCAGTCTTCAATTAAACCATGCTGTAGACTATCCCTCCACTCATCCAGACTGTCTGTGTTTTATGAGACCTGACCATAACGGAGTCCTTCTTTCCCTGCGGTGGACCGTACTTGGGGCCCTGGGCTTCTCAGGTTGTGAGGAGGCATCAAGTAGAACTGAGAACCCAGCCGACACTGGAATTTTGCTTAAAATTAAGTATCCAGGAGATTGATTTTGGTGGGAGATCCAATAGCAGCTCATAAAAGGCCTCTTAAATTCCATAAAACGCACAATCCGAGATTTATTGCTCTTCTAAAGCAAACCGTAAAAAAAGGCACAGGAATTCATTTGAGAAATAATGGGGAGAGATTTTATGTTTTCAGAATCATCTGGAGGTCTTTTCAGTGTCACACAGGCCTCAGCCTCTTGGTTCCCACTGGTATTGATGTTGCTCAGGATGGGGAAGAATTCAGTGTCTCCAGGGCTCACCTTTTGAGGATCATATTGGCCCAGAGCCAGGGGACCCCAGAGTCTCCCTCCTAGAACCTGATATTGCAGCCTTCTTCCCTTGGATTTTCATGAAGACCATTTTTTTTTTTATCTATCCCCAGAGCTTACAGATTCTGGAACGTAGGGAAGGCTGGCCCTCCCCACTACAGACATCTTCTCTTAGCCTGCTTATACGCAGACCCCCTAGGGAGTCAGCACAGCCTGTTTGCAGCAGCATCCCATGCCTGCTGCCCCAGAATACCCCCAGTATCCCTTTTAAGTTCCCCTCTGGAGACCATTGCTCCCACCCTCTTTCTACCAAAGCTCACCAGACCCCTCTCCTAGACTCTAGCACCTGGCTTTTGGCCTTACTTGTACGTAAACTGTGACCTGCTAGGATCCAGAGGCTGATTGTGATGTCCTGTCCTTTAGAAGGGCCTCCTGAGGATGACACCTAAACTCCCAGGACTGGCTGGCAAAAGATGGAATTAGAGCCAGCAGTGGCCAGCTTCACTCTTGGGAAGCCGAAAGGCTTTTTGTCCACCCCAGCCCACAGGCTCTGCTGCTTTCACTTCCTGTCCAGCCCCCTCTGCCAGTCCTTACTTCAGCCATATCTCCAAACACCCTGCTGGTGTCACTGTCCCTGCCACTGTGAGTTCAGAATGGAAAGAGAGGTTGGTCTGGAGCCCCACAAACAATGAACAGGAGGACGGCTATGCTATGGATCTTGAAGCTGCCCACTCAAGTCCACAGCCTCAGTGTGGTCACACCCCGTCTGGAAGGCTTCTCTCCTGGAGTCTGACTATGGCACGAAGGACAACAGCGGTGAGCAGGAACCCAGAGAGGCAGCCTGTGGGCAGGAGGAGATGGCTGCTAGAAAGAACATGCTGGCCACAGAGCTCCCACTGCTTCCAGGCAGACACTGCTTATAACTACCCTTGTTCTCTGATCCAGTTTCAACCAGATCTAAATATTTCCACAGGCACCCAGGGGTCCTAGAGTCTGCCTCGATGCTGCAACCCATCCCCTCCCTGCCCTTGAACCATACACTCAATTCCTGTCTCCTAAACCTGGCCCTCACTGTGTTCCTTGCAGTTTCCAGTGCATTCCAGTTTGCTGGTGTCATTCATTGGATCAGTCTGGCCATTCTCTCTGTGTTCTTCTCAGAGGTACGTAAAGATTTGGGTCCTGGCATCTCCTCTTTGGGGTAACTCATTCCTGGGAAATCTTAGCTTCATTTTGCTACACATTTGCTAATGTCAGGCCCTCTGCTACCGTGTAGGCCATTTCACCATAGGAGATAGCACAGGGAGGGTTCGCAGACACAGACAGTGGCCAACCCAGCTGGGGGGATTTGGCCCAAGCAGGAGAACCCTGCTTGGAATCCAGAGGCTATGCAAGTGTTGTCAGGGAAGGGGCAGGCGATGGATTTGTGAAGGTGAGACTGAGTATGGCATACCCAAAGGACAGAAGTGGTTGGTCAGTGTGGCCAGTGAGGAGTGGGCAGGAGGCAAGGCCCAGGAAAGCCAGATACAGAAGCAGTTAGGATCCTGGAGCGTGGACCTACATCACAGTGAGCCTGAGCCTCAGGGCCAAAGCATGAAGAAGGCCACAGGGCTGGAATGTGGACTTGATGAAGTCCTGTGGGAGGATGGGGTCTGATCAGACTGGGAAATGGGCCTGGAAGAATAGAGAGCTGTTTCTGAAGTGGTGCCTCAGGAGCATGGGTGCTGCCCAGTGTGCTGTTACTGCTAGTGATGATCACTTCTGTAAAAGCAAACTGAAGGCTCCTGGTCCTTGGGTTTAGTGTAGGAGCAGAACAAGCCCCTGTGGCAGCTGAGGTGTTTGAGAAAACCCCCAGCACATTCCTCAGTTTTTCCGTGGGGGTGGCACCTCTTGTGAGTGGCACCTCTTCAGGCCATCACAATGACACTGTGGCCTGAATTTGCGGTCACTGACTTAGAGCTGCTTCATGGTCTCCTGGCAGAATGGAAAAAAAAAAAAAAAAAACTGGGCATTTTCATACTGTGGGCAGTGGGGATCTGTGAAGGGCCAAACAGTTTCATGTGGAAAGCCAATTCCTCCAAACAGGGCAAAGGACTGACCAGGTCATCCAGCCACTGGCCACTCTACATGTGTGTCCCCACCTTCTATCACAGGTACACATCTGCCCACAAAAGAATCCTAGTGGGGCTTTTCAATGAAAGATAGACACAAATAAGGTACAGAGCCCTCTGGGAACAGGCAGGCACATGTGTACACACACAGCTGCTAATACACTGGAGGCCAGCCTCAGGGTCAAGACTACAATGTAGCCTCAAAGGGAGGTGGGGTGCTGGGGAAGAAGAACAACATGGGTGGGGCTATCGAGCAAGAGAATATTTTATAGTGTGGTTAGGGACCCCAAGAGGTCAGACTTCCATGGCCTTCTCTGGCCTAGCCAATAGCCCTGCAGTCTCTCTCCTTAAAAATCAAAAGAGGTCTGGGCCTCAGCCCTCTAGTTCAGAACTCTGAGTCTGGGTGTGGCTGTGCTGTGCTAGGTAGCACAGAACACTTTTCCTCAGGCTTTAGCTCCTGCAGTCCATGGAATTAGCCAGTGAGCCTGGCCTGCAACTCAGACAACTCAAGCAGATCCTGACTCTGAGCTCCCAGGAAGTTTCCTGACCAGCTTAGTGAGGCCACTGCCTGGTGGTGCTCAGGCCCCCCACAAAAGAGTGCTCTCCAGCTTGATGTCTCCATAGGGTCCAGCCCTGCATGGCCCCTCATCTCTTCTTACTGGGATTCCCTCCTACAAACCCATGGGCTGGGGCCAGATGTCTCTGTGATACAAACCTTGGAAAATGTGCCCTGTGTCTGTGACTGCCAACAAAAATGTTTAATCAGTTGCTGCGGTTCTTCCCCTCTATCCCTCTGCTTTGGTTTTATTGGCTTTTGCAGAATTTATTGCCCAGCGTTAATTTGGCATTCCATTCCTGTCATTGCCAGAGACAAACCACCTAAAACAGACAAGCTCCTGTGTACAGGAATAGTAACCTCAGGGTCCCCCACCTGCACCCGCAAAGTGAAGAAGGGGCTGGGGCTTCCCACAGGGTTAGCAGAGAAAGCTGAGCCTGTGGGGCTGAGGAGAAGGGCTATTCCTTTGCTTAGACCATGTCACGAGTGGGGAGAACGGGGCTGCAGCTGGGCCGTGAAACAACGGGAGAAAACGCTCCTCAGTGTAGCTTCCCCAGCATGCGTGAAGGGCTGTGCGCAGATACCACGTTGAGACTGCCTGGCTAGCAAGGATAGGCTTCTGTAGACAGCACCAGGGGAACCAAGCATCAATACCCTGGTGCTAGCAAGGTCTCACAGACATCCCTACCACAGAAGGTTGGGGAATGCCATTTGTGCCCTCCTGATGACTGAGATATGGGGTACCCCTAACAGAAAGAGCCAGAGAGCCTAGGAACTCTTGGCAGTGGATCAGGCCTGTACATTTGCCTACCAAAAAAAGCTAGTGTGGTCCTTATCAAAATACCACATAAGGCTGGAGCTGGAGCTCAGTTGGTAGAGTGCTCACCTAGCATGCACAGAATCTTGGGTTTGAATTCCAGCACCACATAAACCAGGCATGGTAGTGAACACCTGTAATTCTAGCACTCAAGAGGTAAAGGCAAGATCAGTTCAGGATCATCCTCTGCCGCATAAGAAGTTCACGGACCAGTCTAGGATCCATGAGACCCTATCTCAAAAAAAAAAAAATTGAAAAAGCATCGTATAAATGAGGAAATCAACCTAAGGTTTTAATGGTTATGCTCAAAACTGGGCCCAGAGTTCTGGGCTTCTGACCTGTTCCTCTCTTCTGTCCTCTGGGGACCTGGCATTGGCAGGTTGTGAAGGGGGCAGGAATCTGTGGGAAAGTCCAAAGGCAAGGGCAGGAACCAGGCATGGTAGTGAACACCTGTAATTCTAGCACTCAAGAGGTAAAGGCAAGATCAGTTCAGGTCCACCCTCTGCCGCATAAGAAGTTCACGGACCAGTCTAGGATCCATGAGACCCTATCTCAAAAAAAAAAAAAAAATTGAAAAAGCATCGTATAAATGAGGAAATCAACCTAAGGTTTTAATGGTTATGCTCAAAACTGGGCCCAGAGTTCTGGGCTTCTGACCTGTTCCTCTCTTCTGTCCTCTGGGGACCTGGCATTGGCAGGTTGTGAAGGGGCCAGGAATCTGTGGGAAAGTCCAAGGCCAAGGTCAGGAAAGTTTAAGCAAGATCTCTGAACACAGATCCAGGACAACTAGCTCTCTCTCCTCTGGGAGAAATGGATGTGACCTTTTAGGACTGGCCCCTTCTTTCTCTCATACAAACCCAGGGGTGCAGCAGAAAGCCAAGGGTGAGAGGTCATGGCAAGCCTTCTCTGGGTTGGTGAGTGAACTGCATTACACATACAAGTTCCACACAAGTAAAACTCCAAGGGCTCCTTCTGCCCCCAAGCCCTTTGCCTGATTCTGAGAAGTGCTGTACCCCTGGTCTCAACTGAACCTTAGGGAAGGAGGACAGGCCAGGTTACAGGTTAGAAAACTAAAGCTTTGAGAGGTGAGAGAAAGTGCCCAGGGCCCTCAGTGGTAGGCCAGATGCAAACCTTGGTGAGCTATATACTACCCCATCCTCACTGTCCAAGAGCTCTAAGGGCTGCCCCAGGAAGATGGACCACTTTGTACTGAGCAGGCCCCAGAGGATAGAATTAGGCGAGAGAGGGGGGGGGAGAGGGAGAGGG